CACTGATAAACTCACAGTGCAATTAAGTATAGACACCATCAGGATGACCTGCGATATATATTTGCTAGATGATGGTTATGGGTAATGAGATATAACTTGGCATGTTTGGAAGGCTACTTTTCGCAACATTTGGTATAGAGTCGATACTCACCTTATGCATCACATTTAGTGTTCAGGTAAGCCTGAACATATTTTTATAAAAAAGCGTTTATGTAAGTACATTTTTTCAATTACTTTGAGGATAGTTTTTTAACATGAAGTGTAATTTCACAGTAATATATCCTATTTTTACATCAGGGGTTTTTTACGCTGAAATTACCTAGGCAGTATAGTTTATTTACGCATAATCACAAAAATATTTGAAGAAAAAAAAAAGGAAACCCCAGAAAGGATCTTGTGTGTATATACATGGATTTAGCGAAAAGATCTTTCAAGTACATTAAAAATATTTATGTTCATACATTATAAACAGTAGCAAAGGATTTAGCTTTTCTATGTTTTTGAAACGTATCAATGTGACGTTATACTTAAAGAGTGAGTTTTCTAAAGTAAACAGTCGAGTGGCTGAAAACGAAAGTGTTTCCTGACTGTTTCCTTTCTTTTCTTACTCTTTCTGAAAATCTTATAGCGTAGTCTCTGCTTGAGAGCCAAACAAAGTTAAAGATACACACCACGCATGATTGACTTGACATATGGCTGTCTTAACCTCGACGGTGCCTAGTGTTTCTATCGGACAACAAAATCGTGAGAAAAGACAAGACGCCTGTCAGCTTGAAGCGAAAACCGATTGAAAATACTGCGACTGGCAAAATGTTCTTCTTCCGTTGTAATATAGTACTAAAAAAAAATCAGGGTTAATATAAGGATAGGCAGTTGGAAACAAAGCTGATGCTAAACTATAAAATGTCATGTTCTTAAAATATGTGAACACGTAAAAAATCGAAGAAAACTCAGAGCTCTTTGAAATGTCTAGCAGGAAGCTCGTGTAATGATAGGTAGTTGGATTATAGACGTTGAGACGCTTAATGGTTAGGGCGCTCGGCTCACAATCTGCGGGTCGCCAATTCCAATCCTCATCATCGTACATGCTCGCCCTTTCAGCCATGAGAGCGTTATAATGCGACTGGTAATCTCACAATTAGTTGATAAAATAGTAGTCCAAGAGACAGCGGTGTGCGGTGTTCACTAGCTGCCTTCCCTCTTGTCTATCACTGCTAAATTAAGGACGACTTACGCAGATAGCCCTCAAGCAGCTTTGCGTGAAATTCAAAACAAACAAAGACATTGAGACATTTTCGTGCGCTGAATACTTCTTACAAACTGAACAGTGTAAGAGATGTTCTCAAACTAATGTCCTTAGACCCCCGAGGTTTGTTCGTTTGTTTTGAATTTTGCGCAAAGCTACACGAGGGCTATCTGCGCTAGCCGTCCCTAATTTAGCAGTGTAAGACTAGAGGGAAGGCAGCTAGTCATCACCACCCACCGCCAACTCTTGGGCTACTCTTT